CCGGGTTTTCTACGCTCACTCGAATAACGTTTACACCTCACAGTGTCGGTTTTCAATGCTCACCGAACAACGTTCACTCCTCACACTCGGTTTTTTAGTTTACCGAAAACTTCACAACACACTCGGTTTTCTAGCTCACCGAAAACCTTACAACACTCACAATGTAACAAATATAAATTTATTCTCTACAATAGATGAGAACTCAATTAAGCACAACTCAATGTTACAATCTCTCACAACCCTAATATACTATGTATGCAAATACAATAAGCTCAAGTGGGTGTGTGTAACAATGAGATAAAATCAAATCAACTAAACTCAATATAAAACTAGCTTTAATAGAAATGATAATCAACAAATAATTATAAATAAAAGCCAGAGTTGAGTTTAGGAAAACTTATCTGAAAACTTCTCTAGATCAAGATGGAGAGATGGAGATATGAGCCCAAAACAAGAAGATAATCTCCTCCACTTGTGAAAACCAAAACAGCTTAAACCAAACCCTTAAACAATCTTAAACAAGCTTAAACTCTTTTTAAAACCCTTGTTTAAAAACTTCTTTTTCATTGTTCAAAACTGAGATCAAAGAGAGTATTTATATCCTCCAAAACCTCAGCTAGTTGAAAAAGCTCTCGTCGGTCGACCGGAAAATTCATCGGTCGACCAAAAATTTTACCGGTCGATCGGACCGGTCGACCGACAGACTTTCTATCGCCCAGTGAGTGTATGAACTCAGGTTCGGGGGGCCCGGGCTCGGTCGACCGAAAATTTTCATCGGTCGACCGGACCGGTCGACCGACAGGCTTTCTGTCGCCCAGTGAACTTTTGACCTCAGGTTCGGTCGACCGGTGCGGTCGACCGAAATCTGATACACTCAAAACATGTTTTGCTGATTTTAAAACCTTGTTTAAAAATATCAAATAAATTCTAAAAAATATAAAACTTTGGGGAATGATTGTAGACATGATAATAAACATGCTACAATGACTGGTTTCAAAAAAGGACTTCCCAAAAGAAAAATATCATCATTTTACAAAATAGTCCAAAACATAAAAATATAAACACATGAGTTTGATGTTTTGACCTAAACCAACTTTTGAAACTTTACAAAATGATTTTATAGACTTAAAGAAAGATGTAAACTATTGTTATGAAGTCTATAAATAATGAATGTAGTATTTTATCAAAATACACATATAATACATTAAAACATGATTTCATTGAACTCACTAAAATTGATATTGATGAAATCATATATATGCATGTAAGTATGAAACAAAAATATGTTTTCTAATTATATTCAATTGTTTCATAGTAAAACTTGAAAACTATCAAACCAAAACATATGTGTATATATATAACTATATATATACAAAAACCAAAACGTGTATGTGTGTATATGATTGAGCTTAAAGTACTAACACACATAATATAAAATCTAAACTATATTACCCAAGCTTGAACTTGATCTTCATTAAGCTTGACTTGGTACACGTTGCGGATGAAGCTTGAACTTGATCTTCAACTTGAATTGTATGTTGCTTCACTCCACAATTCCGCCAACCTCCTCTTGATATGATCGTGTAGGCTTAATCCATCCAACCTCCAACAACGTTGTTTGTCTATAATAAATAAGAAAACACAAATACTAGACAAACAACATTAGTAGTAAATTGTTTGTAAATCATCATCAAAACAAGAAGGCCAATAGGAGTATGCGGAGTTCATCCGCTTGATTGCCCTTAACTTGGGCCAACTCTTGTTGGAGTCTTTCGATTTTAGCTCCTCTGTCGAGGGCATCTCCGATCTATGCGACATTGGCACAAACATGTAGAAGAAGAGGAAGAAGAAGAAGATAGAGGCGGTGAGAATGGATGAGGATGACTACTATTTATAGCCTCTTTCAAATCCTAACTCCCAAAATAAATCACATCTTTTGAGATTTGATTGGACCAGACAAAGAAACTAAAACTTAGCCTAAAACTAGGTCAAACCCACAGTGAATCTCGTGGGATCTTTAATCAAAAGATCTCGGCCACAAATCATGGCACAAATCAAGAGACGAATCCCAACAAACTTCGCCAGCCAATGAACGATGTCAGACGATGAACTTCGCCAACACAATTCAAAATAACTTGAGGCCCACCAACTAGCGAATGTTGCTAAATGATGAACTTTGATCAGCAGCTCATACCCAAGAACCAGTCAAAATTTTACTAATTTCTCATCGCCCAAACAAAAAAAGGGAAAATTTCATTCCAAGCATGGATTTGGACGAATACAAGCATCATTGATCCTTCGACACAAGTCTACAACAAGAGAAATTACGTTCAACACCACACCTCTAGCAACCAAGTAGGCAGATAAAGATAAGTTTCCATCAAATCAAGACAACTCAAGCCATGTTCAACACTACACCTCTGACTATCTACCCAAAGTATTTTAAATCCTAGCTACAAATAAAAATGCAAAATTTTGAGAACTTTGGTGGGGGTCTTGTATTCGGTAAAAATATATTTTCACCGAGGATCCCAGAAGTGAACGCTCATGGGCTAAACACTTCGAATGGGCCCAAAGTTAAGCCCACAATAAGCTGCAGCGAAGATCACCTGATGATTGAAGCGAACATTGCCAAGCAACTCATATCGACCCAACCAGGTCAGATACGAGTTGACCCCCACAACACGCCTCATATCAAGACGAAAGGCGTCATCAGTCAGCCAAGCCTAAAGTCGAATTATGAGCTAAATTCAAACTCGTAGGTGAAGTTCGCCAACTAACAAACTTTGCCCACATGGACTAAGTCACCCACGTCCAAATCGACCTTCGCCCACGACCGAAGTGACCATCGCCCATGTCTTCAGCGAACTTCGCCCAGCCCGTGAAATTCGTCCAAATAGATGTTTCAGAGCTATTTTCGGGGGATAATCGTTCCCCACTAATTCCTACTTTAATGGTCATCTAATCCATATTTAATGGGACCATTAACTCTCTCTTTTTTAGCCTATAAAAGGTGAGGAGATCATCCACTTTACAAAGAGACACAAAGAGATATACACATAGACACGGACATAGAGATATATACGTGCAGAAGCATACATTTGCTATTATGTTGAGAAGTATTGCTAAGAGAAAACTGAGCTAGCTTCCAAGCATTCTGATCTTCATCAACAGCAAAAAATCTCATAGTCTTAGTTGGTGAGTTAACGGAGTACAAGATCGACGCTCCACCGGCACAAGGAAAAGAACCCCAGGAAAAAAATAAATTTTCCTTTGTTTCATTATATTTTTCTTTTGTTGTAATCTGTGTCAATTACAATTCAAAAGAATCCGAAACATCATGTATGTTAATTTTAAATCTTAAATATTAATCTTAAAATTAAATGCTAACTTCCATTACTAAGTGTTAATTTCGATGTTTCTTTAAGAAATCATCGTTTTTGTCAAACGAGACGGGCTTGAGGGATGCAATAAGGCATGCAACAATGATTGTGGAAGAACGAGAAAAAATGGTTGAGAAAAAGAGGAAAATAGCAAAGAGAGACCGTGACGGCGAGAAAATAATGTTTGAGAAACAAGGAGAAGAAAGAGAAGAATACAATTGTGAAGGTAGAGGAGGAGGAGGTGGTGGAAGAGGACGAAGAGAAGCTACAATGGTAGAGTTGAAGGAGGAGGAATGCAAATAGGAAGTGGAGGAGAAGGAAAGGAGGGTGGAGATGACGAAGAGAGAAGGAAGGAGGAGAGTGAAGCTAAAGCAAGATATAATTGAAGAGAAATAAAGAGTTGGAAGGTAGAAGATGAGAATGTTATGTAAGAAACATATTGAAGATAAGAGCATATTGAAATGATATAATGAGCATGTTAGGAGAGAGAGAGAGATCTCATGGGTTAAAAGCAAAAAAAAAAAAAGAACAAAGGATTTTTACACACATGCGATTTTTAATCTTTTTAGACTCAATCTTAGTCATTCATTGTTGTGGATATATAGGCTCTTTCCTCATGATTTCTAGAGATATTTCTGAACTAATAGAGAGAGAAAAATGAAGAGGAAGAGAGTGAGAGAGAGAGAGAGAGAGAGAGAGAGAGAGAGAGAGAGAGAGCTAGGGTTTCAAGTTGGTGAAAGGATCTTGTTCAAGCTTCTCAGAAGTCGTACTCAATGTCGTTCTTCAACATCCGATCATCAACCTTCAAGGAGCGCTGCTTTTGGACTTGATCATTTACATTGTTCTTTATCAAGCGTCGCTTCAATCTTTTGAAGAACTATTTGCTAATCAAAATGTCTGTAAGATCTTTCTAGTTGAGTTTAATTGTATTTATTTCTTTGGATCAAGCTTGTTTCTACGACGTACTCAAACAGGAATGAATTGAGGGTTAACAGCTTACTCAAGCCAGTGTTAATTAAGTGTTTATGGTGTACTCAACCCGGTGATAATTGAGAGTTGGGTCTAACTAGGGATGTGTTACTCGCTATGGAGAGTTAGGTTAGACCACTGATCTTGAGTAGATTCCGGGGGTGTACTGAATTGGATTGTGATTCAGGAAAACTCTTGGCATAGTGAAGAAGCCTCTTCATGAGAATAAAGAGTGGACGTAAAATTGTTATTCGAACCATTATAAAAATCTCGCGTGTACCTTGGTTGAGTTTTGGTTTGATTGCTCGCTTTTATTTTTCTATATTTCCGATGCATATATTGTGTTTTGGTGAAAAACTGTAACAAACCTATTCAACCCCCCTCTAGGCATGCATCTCAGAATAAGCATGGATATTATCCATATATCAATGTACCAAATAATCTCCTAGCACTTTCCTCTTAAATATAAGATAGCACAAATAGCATCACATGAAATTCCACGGCTTTCTTTTCATCGGTGGCGAAGTTCTGGACTTAACTGCACAAAAAATACTAAAACGTTTGTGAGAGCTAGAAAAAAACACCAAACTAGCAAGAGGGGTGTAAAAAAATATCAATCTGATAATTTAGCCCATTTTCAAGCTCGCATTGAAAAAAAAAAGAAGAAGAAAACTTCGGATTCGCATGAAGTGTATCATCACATCATTACTCTCCTCATATAAAACCCAAACCCAAATACATAAGCCACAAATTAATCAATATAAACTCTCTCAATCCTCCGCATGAAACATCCACAACAAACTTTCACACTAAAATAACAAATTGGCAAAAGCAACAAAACGCTACTTCTTCACTCATATGCAATTGCTCATTTCTTGAGGAGCAAGGGCCCCACGTTATCGCCGGTTTCCTTGTTGTGCTTGACGTGGCTCCCATCGCACAGCGGGAACGTCCCCGACCTCCAACACCTAAAATAAACCAATTTAATTTGAATCTTTAATATATTAAATAAAGTTAATTAAAAAAAAGGAAATTACCGGCAATAGGCGGTGAGGGGCTTGGCGAGCTCGGCCACGAGCACGTTATCAACAACCTTCGCCTCGTCCTTGCGTATCTCAGGGTTTATGCCGCCACTGCTGCTCGCTTCGGCTCTCGCCGTAAACGCTGCTGACCCACTGCGAAGAGGTTTCTTCGACGATGGGCTCTTGTTAGAGAGTCGAACGTTGACCGAGCTCAAGATAGAGGCTGAGGACGCCATTTATGTTCAATTCCTGTTTTGATGAATTTAGGGCTTGAGCGCTGATTTTATTTGGCGGTGGCGAAGGTTTGGGGATGGGATTTTTTTTTTTTTTTTGGTTGTGTGGCGAACACGAGCCTCCTGTGGAAAAGGAGATAAAGGAGGGAAAATACATCATCATGGGCCAGGCTTAATAGGATAACAAAGGTGGCCCATGTATGTGTTTGTAAGAATTATTGTTACAGCCCGGCGAATGAACTGTTGTTAAAACTGAACTCTCTCAAATGGCCCAAAATATTACAGGTACTTCAGATGGAAGCCACTGAACAGTAGTTTCAACCTATCAACCCCCTAAATTTTTACCGTTATTCTATTTAACTCCCATGGTAATTTCAACTTCAAAAATACTATTTCTTGGAGGGTAAAGTTGCAATATTGTAAAAAGAACCACGACAAATACAGGTGATTATTGAAATCTCTCATTGCACTTCTAGGACAGTCACGCTAAAACCGAGGGCATGTTTGGTTCTTTTGTGTAATTCACATGAAAGTCATTGTAACTAGCAATTCAGTTGGAAAACTAGACCTAGTAGCTACAGAAACTTGCACTCAAAACGTTTCTTTTTGAGTGGGATTGGTCAGAGGCTGCTAAGTGTGATTTTTTTTACTGTCACTTCAGCACTTTATTTGCACAACCAAACAGCGTAAGCACGTAAAAGTTGCTATAGTCTGACATCTACAGTAACTTTCAAGAAAAAACAAACCAACCAAATAGACCCTCACAGTTTAAGAAGTGAGATGACTTGCGTTGATGCTGAGAACAAATTTGCAACATTGAGTCTGTAGGATTAGACTCAACGATGAGGGTCCGATAATCTACTTTGGTGTCTGCTGGTGAGCTTTCACTGATGATAGTCTGAGATACATAGAAAAAGCGTCAGATTGGTGATGATTGGCTATCCACCAATGCCCATACTCTTTATAATGAAGCAGTAAAAATAGTAAGTAAATCTACGTTAGGGGTTTACAGGAGAGAAAAAAAATCATAGATTGAAAATCAGCGATACTGAGCCTTGCTATTTTTACTTGATTGAGAAGGGTAGACAAGTGATGCGGCATAAACATGTACCAAAAACTAATGTTGCAAGTGCACAACCGTGTCAAGCTATAATATAAAGATATTGATCCCACGAGGAATGTGTTTTATAGGAGAAAATATAAAATCAGTTCTTATGTTGTGTGCGTGAAAAATAGGAGTGATGAGTGAATGTGATTGTGGAGAGATTGAGAGAATGAAAATGATTGTGTAAATGAATATATTTGAGAGTGGAAGTGATAATATAAATGTGATGAACAAGGCAAGAAGGAAAAATCAAGAACAAATAAAAATCAAGAATGAAAAATAAAATTCAAGAAAGTAAAGATGGTGGATTCAATTAAAAATATGGGTAATCTAAAATTGAACCCATTTCTTAGAAAAGAGTGATTCCCTAGAGAGTTCTAACCTAAAGGCGAATCAAAGAAAAAAAAAAAAAAAACTAAACCCAAAAGGGTTCTAGCCTCAAGGTGAATAGTGTAAGAAATTAAAATCTAACTATAAAATAAATTACAAAATCTAAACTACAAAATAAATTATAAGAATTAAATGTAAGAAAATAAATCTACTCTATAAGTATAAAATAAATCTAATCTATAAGCATGAAATAAATCTAAGGCAAGAGGGTTCTAGCCTCTTGGCTATTTAAACAAGAAAATAAAATCTAATTACAAGCATGAAAATAAATCTAAACTAATAAGCAATAAAAGAGAAATAAGAAAAACAAACCTTCAAATTAATCTCCATCTTCATCTTCATCTTCATGATCCAACAAAGAGAAGAAGAGAAGAATTTAAAGTGGTGAAAAAATTATTTTATTAATTATAACAAAAAGTTACAAATTTGGAAGGCCTTCTCAATTAAGAGTAGCCATCCTCTCCAAAAGGAGTTACAAAAATTTTTACCTCTAACCCCTCACTCTCAACCCCTATTTATAGTAAACATTAGTGAATGAGAGCCTTTGGATCAAACTTGAGTCCCAAGAATACAATTTCGGTCGTTGATGAAATCTGGATGACTTCGCATTGATGCTCCAATAAGAATTCTGACTTCACGATTGGCTTCGTCTCGTCGAGATAGGTGATTTTCATATATTATATGTTAAATTCCGCCTTCCGGATTGGGAGATATAGTCGTTTCTTTGCGGCCAACTATCTTGAATACATTTTTTTCATATTTAATTTTTTTTTATTTTCTCCGGCTTCTACAGGCTACTCGGCTTGATTCTGGGCTTGGGCTTTTTGACTCTTGCTTGTGTTCTTCATTTAATTCATGAGTTTTTGTTGAGATAAGAATCTTGGGCTTTATTCTTCACTAACCTGCAATTAAAGATAAAAACAATTATTAATGGCATATTTATTCATATAAAATAGATAATAAGGATATAAAATTGTAATAAAATGTGATTATCAACCAGCCTCTGCACATTTTACCATCTTGACGGTCAGTGTTGTGACATAGTTACTTGGTCTGTGAGTAAGCCCACATGGCAATACTTCGTCGACGTAGGATAGTATATCTCCTCACGTGGTATGCTAAGAATATGAGATGATTTGAATCAATTATCTCTAATTAGACAAACTACCATAAAACCAGACTGGGTTGGGTGTAGGTATAATAACTGAACTGATGAGTTTAGCTGTTATAGACGTTTAATGCTCTATCAGGGCTTTTATGTCAGGTTCATGGGTCATGACAGGATTGTTTATTGAGCGCAGATGTCCCATATTTTAGCGAGTTAAAATGTGTACACGATCGACCAAGTCAACTTCTTGTCATGATGTGGCCTAGTTAACCTATGTGAAAAATCTAGATTACATGCATAGCAATTTAAAATTTCAAAGAGAAATCAGTGAATTTTCTCCTTTAACTAATTTAAAAATCTGTTCAATTGTATCGAATTATATCCCTTCAAAATGTTTAGAATGACAATTCTCTTAAGTTAAGAAAATGATTTAAAAAGACCATTATACCCTCCTAAAAGCACTATCAAGGATGAATAGAATGAAAAATTAAAGGGAAAAATGTGTCCATACCCCAAAAGTGGGAACTTTGTGTGACTAGCCCCCTTGTACTTTGTCCCATGTGGAAAAGCCCCAAAAAATGAGCTTTAAAGTTTTAAGCCCTTTCCACGTCAGCTTTATACTAAAAGCAGATCGTATTTTGGAAAAAAGCCGAAATTTCCCTTCTCTTTCTTCCCCAGACGAGTCCTGGTCCCGAACAACAGAAGTCACTTCTCATTAATGCGATATGATGGGAAAAATCGAGGGAAATTTCCCTCTTTTTTTACTCCATCATGAGCAATAACTAGTTAGTTCTCCATTACTCCTCCTCAGACCAAAATTCTCTCCATTACTCTCTCCATTACTATCCCTTCAAAATAACTAGTTAGTTCTCCATTACTATCCCTTCAAAATGGCTGAAAAGGACATCATCTGCATTGTCTCTTCGCGGTATAAAGCGGTATTCTTGAAGATTAATTCTTCAACCACCATCTTGGATCTCAAGTTTGATGTGGCAGAGAGGTTAGATCTTTCATATGAGTCATTAATTTTGGCATACGAAGATGAAACAGTTGGAAGCTTAAAATTTTCCATTGAGAACGATGGTATCTGACGTCTATGGTGGAGCATTGCCACAATCTTGGATTGAAAGAGGTTCACGTGCAAGCTTTTAAAGAAGGAGATGATTCTTCGAATAAACAGGAAAAGGAGCAAGTCCGACAAGACATGTAGGTTAACTGTAAAATCAATTAACTTAAGTTCTAATCGGTTTCTTGTTAGGTCTATGCTAGGTTTAAATGGACTTCAGTTCTAATGTTTTATTTGTCATTAAGAAGTTCTTTGTTATGCTCCATACTAGAGTTCTAATGTTTTATTTGTCAGTTCTAATCGCTATTTTGTTAGTTGTACTAGAGTTATTGCTAGTTCCACTATAGTTCCCATATGCTGCAAGTGCTGCAAAGGTTGTTAGTTCTGATCTATGTCTTGTTAGTCCTAATGGTTATATTGTTAGTCCTAATTGTTATAAATTAGATATAACGTGGTATAAATTAGATATAACTTGGTATAAAATAGAACTAACAAGCCATCAGTTAGAACTGACACTAACACGCTACAGATTAGAACTAACACTGTGCACATTAGAACTAACACTGTGCACATTAGAACTAACACGCTACAGAATAGAACTAACACGCTGCAGAATAGAACTAACACGCTGCAGAATAGAACTAACATGCTACATAATAGAACTAACACTGTGTAGATCAGAACTAACACACTGCAGAATAGAACTAACACTGTGCAGATTATATTGTTAGTCCTAATTGTTATATTGTTAGTACTAATGGCTATATTGTTAGTTCTAATCTATGTCTTGTTAGTCCTAATGGCTATATTGTTAGTTCTAATGGCTATATTGTTTGTTCTAATAGCTATTATGTCAGTTCTAATCAATGCACTGTTAGCTCTAATGGTTATATTGTTAGTTCTTTTAGTTCTAATTGATTCTAACAGCAAGCAATTGTCGTTTTTGCTTTTTAGCTTTTGCTATTATCTGTTGATACTTCTACTATTTGTGTAGTTTATGATTAATTTTTTGATGTTCTTAATATTTGTAGCGCTTCCAGCAGTTTGAACTCAAAAAGTGTAGACTGTGGCCTGTCGGCGTTGTGGACCACAAGTGTTCCAGATAAGAATCCTAATGACAATCCTTCCGGAAATGATGTCATGACGATTGATGACATGATTAGCAGATCAGAGAGGATTCCTGCTTGGTAGCACACAGCTTTAATCGGTGAGGGACAATGATTTGAAAGTGCAAAGGAGTTAAGATTGGCCTTGCTATACTACTCCATGGCAAAAAAATTCGAATACGAGTTTGGGAAGAATGAACTGAAGCGTATTCGAGTGTTTTGTCGGTTTAAGGAAGCAAAAAATTGTTCGTGGATGTTATTTGCCTCTCCACCAAAAAATGATAATAGACTTGAAATCAAAAGGTTTGTGGACAATCACAGTTGTCAGCAGCATGGCAATAATGCTGGTAAATCTAGAGCCTCTAGGCGATTCATTGCTACCCAATTACAACCCACGTTAAAGGTTCGACCGGATATACGGCCTATTGACGTTCAAAAGGAGTTTCTAAGCTCGTATGGGATTAGGGTCGATTATAGTAAGATTTGGTGGGGTAAAGAAAGAGCACAAGAGAAATTATATAGTGATGCCCATGAGTCCTACGATCAATTACGATGGTAAATAGAAGATGATATATAACAAAAGACAAACTAATTTCCTTTATGTGACGTTGATTATACTAATTTTTCAATGTTGGTACTAACGCTTAATCTTCAATTTTCTAGGTATGTAGAAGAGGTCAAGAAGACAAACCCAGGTAGCTATATTCATGTTGAACAAAATGAGGGGAGGTTTACAAGGTTATTCATATGCTACGCCGCCTGCATAAATGATTTTTTATACGGATGTAGACCACTCTTATTTTTGGATGGTACCTTTCTTAAAGATCGATTCAAAGGCATACTCCTAAGCGCCGTAGCATATGATGGAAATCAGGGGATATTTCCATTGGCGTATTGTATATGCGATCAGGAAAATAATGTTAACTGGAAGTGGTTCTTACAAGGTTAGTTCTATCCCTAGCCATGTTAGTTCTGTTGCAGGTTATGATAATTCTAGCTCATTCATTGCTAACTCTAATTCGTGTATGGTAACCACAACTCTTTGTAGGTTTGTGGTCTATTCTCTATGAAAGGCCAGATCCATACAACCCTCCACACAAGCTAGTGATAATTTCAGATGCGGATAAGGGGATCAGAGAAGCAGTTAGAGAATTTTTTCCAGATTCTATACACTCTCGATGTGTGTTGCATCTAGTTGAGAACTTCAGGACAAAGTTGAAGGATTTGGGATTTCAAATCAAAAGATACTCAGATCTTGGGTAATCTATTACAATCTGCCTGTTACAAATATACTAGAGCAGAATGGAACGATTACATGGATGACATTAGACTGGTTGATGAAAGAGCTTACAATATTGTGATGAACTATGCTCCAGAGAACTGGGCCAATGCGTTTTTCCCTGGAGTTAGGTAAGTTATAAGCTATTTCATTACATGACTATTATAAGCCGCTTGACGAATTCCCTATTATGTTTCAGATATGGTCACGTTACATCAAATGTTGCAGAGTCATTCAACAAATGGATACATGAGGCTAGGCTACTACGGATACTTCAACTGGTAGAGCACATACGTAAACAGATTATGGTTCGTATGAATGAGCGACGAACCATGGCTGAAAGCTGGAATCAATTTCTTTGCCCCAAAGCTGAACTTGCTCTCAAAGAGAACATGGAAAATGGCCGTTCATTGGAGGTTCGTCAGTCCCACATAGGATTATTTGAGGCACAATCCCATAGATCTTGTCAAGTAGATCTAGACAATAAAACATGCACTTGCCGTGGGTGGGATGTAACCCGTGTCCCTTGCAAACATGCATGCGCATCCATTATGTTTATGAAAAGGGATGTCTACCAGTTCTGTGACTGGTTTATGACGGTTGAAGCCTTTAAAAAAAGCTACGAGCCAATCCTCTACCCTATCTCTGACTTTGAGAAGCGCATCGTGCCAAGGGATGAGATGCAGATCCTACCTCCACTTACAACAAAAAGGAAAGGGAGAAATAAAACCAGGCGTATCAACAACAGAACTGTTTACACGCGGCCAGTAAAATGTTCTCGATGTCATATGGAAGGTCATAACCATAAAACATGTAATGAATCTATAGTTGACTAAGTGTTTGATATGTTGAAGTGTTTTCGTCCAAGTATGCAACAAATATTTTGTTTTTTTGCCGATTGAGTGTTTGATATTCTTGTTTATTCTAATAGAACTAACATAAATTAGATATAATGTGGTATAAATTAGATATAACGAGTAATAAAATAGAACTAACAAGCCATCACACGCTACAAAATAGAACTATCACTGTGCAGATTAGAAATAACACGCTACAGAATAGAACTAACACTGTGCAGATTAGAACTAACACTCTACAGAATAGAACTAACACTGTGCAGATTAGAACTAACACTCTACAGAATAGAACTGATACTGTGTAGATTAGAACTAACACGCTACAGAATAGAACTGACACTATGCAGATTAGAACTAACACGCTACAGAATAGAACTAACTTGGTATAAATTAGAACTAACTTGGTATAAAAATAGAGCAAACTTTATTTAAATTAGAACTAACTTTGTATAAATTAGATCTAACGTTGTATAAAATAGAAATAACTTGGTATAAATTAGAAATAACTTGGTATAAATGAGATATAACGAGGTATAAATTAGGTTTATAACATGGTATAAAATAGAACTAACATAAATTAGATATAACGTGGTATAAATTAGACATAACGTGTAATAAAATAGAACTAACAAGCCATCACACGCTACAGAATAGAAGAACACTGTGCAGATTAGAACTAACACGCTACAGAATAGAACTGACACTGTGCAAATTAGAACTAACACTCTACAGAATAGAACTAACACTGTGCAGATTAGAACTAACACTCTACAGAATAGAACTAACTTGGTATAAATTAGAACTAACTTGGTATAAAAATAGAACAAACTTTGTTTAAATTAGAACTAACTTTGTATAAACTAGATCTAACGTTGTATAAAATAGAAATAACTTAGTATAAATTAGAACTAACTTGGTATAAATGAGATATAACGTGGTATAAATTAGGTTTATAACATGGTATAAAATAGAACTAACATAAATTAGATATAACGTGGTATAAATTAGACATAATGTGTAATAAAATAGAACTAACAAGCCATCACACGCTACAGAATAGAAGAACACTGTGCAGATTAGAAATAACATGCTACAGAATAGAACTAACACTGTGCAGATTAAAACTAACACTCTACAGAATAGAACTAACACTGTGCAGATTAGAACTAACACTCTACAGAATAGAACTGACATTGTGCAGATTAGAACTAATACGCTACAGAATAGAACTGACACTGTGCAGATTAGAACTAACACGCTACAGAATAGAACTGACACTGTGCAGATTAGAACTAACACGCTACAGAATAGAACTAACTTGGTATAAATTAGAACAAATTTTGTTTAAATTAGAACTAACTTTGTATAAATTAGATCTAACGTTGTATAAAATAGAACTAACTTGGTATAAATTAGAACTAACTTGGTATAAAATGAGAACAAACTTGGTATAAAATAGAACTAACTTTGTATAAATTAGAACTAATTTGTTATAAAATAGAACTAACTGAACTAACACTCTACAGAATAGAACTAACACTGTGCAGATTAGAACTAACACGCTACAGAATAGAACTGACACTGTGCAGATTAGAACTAACACTCTACAGAATAGAACTGACACTGTGCAGATTAGTGTAGGCATCAAAAATTGCCTATAGGTCTCCATGAACGGCTCAGTGTTAAGGAACGATGATGAACGTCACTATCCGGTTTACAGGAGTTCGATTGATGTCGATGAACGCTTGAAGTAAATCGACGAACTACGTGAACTAACGAAGGAACGGGCTAATCGGGAGCCCCGCGATATTTACAAAAAGAACAATGCCCTTCGTGTCTCATTCATTATACAGATGATCCAACCATCGGAGCTGATAGAACTCCTTGTCGGCTTTCCAACACACTTCGAATCACTCAAATCCGAGTTCGGACGAACGAATTACGGCAGAAACAAATAAATACACCATATGGAGTGTCTCGGACCAACGAGACACCCTTCGGTGTCTCGGCTAAGGCCGAGACACCCTTGGGTGTCTCGTCTCGGCCCAAACCGAGACACCCTAGGGTGTCTCGGATCAAGGGGAGACACCCTAGGGTGTCTCGGATCAAGTGGAGACACCCTGGGGTGTCTCCAACGCAGATTTGGGCTTTTAGGTGGTTTTAACCGCTCCAAACTCCCCCGAGCCTATAAATACAAGCCTCAGGCCCTCATTTTTTCAGATCTTGAATTTTGGAGAATTGGCGAAGCCCTGCCGAACTGAGGAGTGATCGAGTTCTTCAACACAAGAGATCGAAAGTCGTCAGATCTACATCACCCGCATCCAATCCTTAGTATTATCCCGTCGTGGTACTTCTAAGAAGAGCAATTATCTCACTTTTATCAAGATAGGCGCTTCTGTTTCTAGATCTCCTCACGGATCGACGAAGCTCTGGACCTGATCTGATTGCCAGGTAGTCCACGGATATCGACATCCCCATCACAGGCTAAAGACCCACGCAAGCAAGAGACGACAAACGGATCTTGTGTTTATTTTCAAGAAAGTTGTAATCTTTTACTCTTTTGTTGTTTGAATTCATTTGTAACGCTTAAAGTTTAATGAAATCAATGACTAAGGTAACTTTCCCCCCTGCCGAGGCTGTCGTGACGCAACCGGCGTTCAAGATCCGGGTGAACGAAGAGATCGAATACGAGTTCGATCAACAGAAGTTTGAAGAGTACCTCTCTTCCTCCTCCTCCAGATCCGCCTCTCCAAACAGGTGTAGGAAGGCTTCCTCTTCCAAGAGCGCTCGCGGGCCCTCAGGATCGAAGATCCAAGATCCCCTCGCCGCTGTTGCACCCATGCCCCGCGACGTCCCTGCAGCACCCAAAGAGGTCAAAGCTGCAGATCCGGACCTCCCCTCCACCGTGAAGGTGACCGCTAAAATTGCTCCGACTTTGTCGAAGAGGGCGCGCCAAAGACGTCGTCAACGCCTCACACGACAATTGGCCAAGGCCGTAGAATCGATGGACGGGATCCGGTACAATGAGGATCTAAAGTCCAGGCAGCGCCAAGAACAACAACGGCGAACCACCAATCTCTCCTCCAAGGCGGAGACAAATGAATGGGTCCGCGTCCAGAAGACTCGCTCCACTCTCGAAGAGCGAATCAAGAAACGCCGCACATTGCTCGCGCATTCCCGAGTCCTTCTGCAGAAAGCGGAAGAGATGCAAAACCGTCAAAATACAAGCAGGTGTGGGTGCCAAAGAAAAAAGTGGCGCCTAAGACAAAAGTGGATGGAATTGCCGTCCAACCTTCTTCAAATTCAGATCCCGTTTCCCTTGCCCCCGCACCTCCGGCGGAGCCAAGTAAGAACGTAGGTCCTACAAGATCCAGAGTTCCTTTGAAAGGTTGCCTCGGTCCTTTACCAGAAGATCGAGGTAAAGCACCTATCAAGGAGCGATTGGGATTGTTGAAAGGTCCCCAAACAACAAACCAGACTGGGGGTCGTACTAATCCCCCCAAGAAAGATAACAGAGGGAAAGCCCTTGTTACCGACCGCATTGGATTGCGGGTTGAAGTTCAAGAGCCCGTTGGGTTTTCACGCTCGCAGAGGCGTAAACTTGAACGTGCGACTTTTGAAAACGCTAATAAAGCATCGTATCCCCAGCGGGAAGCACATTCGTCTGATGATGACGGTGTTATACCTGAGAGGTTATGCCAGCACTCTATGGGTTGCTCCAGTTATCAAACTGACGAGTTGTACTATAGAACTGGGGGTGCGAGTAAGTCTCGAAAGAGAGACGCTCAAGACACAGAGACTCGCTGTCCGTGTGCCAACATAATCAAGGCGGTATTGTCAGAATGCTGCTATTCTAAAGCCCCAAGGAGAGTTTCGGTGTTTGAGAGAATTTCCACCATAACATCTGAGAACAAGCCAAGGCGTTTTCGTGGGAAGAAGCCTGTCCGCCAAGAGAATGAATTTCTAGAAGTGTCTGCTAATATGACTGGCAGAGGGAAATCGACACGACACTTTAGCCCAGATCAGTTTGCCGAAGTGTCCCAGCGTATGACTCGATTGCGATCAGGGACCAATAGGCGAAAGAATTACCAAAGGATGCAAAAGGGACTTCCTTTGGAAGAGGAGGT